ATGTGGGCACATCACTCTGGAGGAGGACGGAGATACCTGGGCCTTCAGAAGACACAGGGAGAGGGTGGCCTGGCACAGCCCGGCAGGGGCTCCATGCTGTACCCAGCACTGGTCTTGGGGCACACACCCAGGGACCTCACAGGTGACTTGTGCTCAGCCCAGGGAGGCAGCAAAGGGGAAGCAGAGGAGCCTGGCACAGAGACAACCTGATGGCTCTGCCTCTCCGCGCCTCAGTTTCTCCCTGTGACAGGGACAGCACTGGAAGCCACCTCGGCCTGCTTTGGTGAGGGCTGCCTCCCACCTCCCCAGGGGTTCCCTAGTCCTTGTCCCTCATGGGGGCCACCTCCCCGCGCAGGACTGCGGACTCTGAGAGCCACACCCTCAGAAGCACTGTCCCCAAACTTGTCCCCATGTGCCAGCAGCACCTTCCTGCCTCACAGGCTGCACAGCCGGGTGCTGTCACCAGCTCTGAACTGGAGGGACAGGAGGCCTTGAAAGGCAGGAGGAAGGAAGGGCAGCGGTGACAGCACAGCCCACTGCGTGGAAGCCGACGGTGGCAACTGGGGCGTTACAAGAATGCTGGGTTTTGGGAAGGAGACCGAGGTGCTGGCAGTGAAGGTGCCAGCGGGGGATGAGATGCTGGGGCCAGTAAGGAAAGGCAGAGGCAGGAACTGCTTTCACTGGCGTTTTTGTTTTGGTTTTTTTGTACTATCTGAATCTGGTACCAGTTGCATGGGTCAAAAGCACATCAAATGAATTAAACCAAGGGGCACCCGGGGTGCCCAGGTGAGATCAAGGGCAAGGAAAGGTAGGGGCAGAGGTGCCAGGCATGCAGGCAGCTGCTGCATCCCCTGCCTGCTCACCACACCCCAAACTCGGGAAGTTCTGTGACTCCTGGGGGCCACTCCCTGCCGGCACCGAAAGCTGCAGCCTAAGGCTCTCAGCACCTCAGCCCGGCCCTGGCAGATGGCACAGTGGGCTTGGCTTCTCCTGACATCAGGGCCTCCTCCATGAAGCAGCTAGAGGTCCCAGCTGGCAGCACCAAGGAGCGATGGCTCCACTACAAGGGTACCGTCAAGAAAGAACCCAGGGGGCCAGGGATTTAGCTCAGTGGTTTCACCGCCTGCTGCGCAAGTGCAAGGACCCGAGTTCGATCCCCGGTAAAAAAAAAAAACAAAAAACCCCAGGAAGGAAATGATGCCTCAGAGCCCTGTAGATGCCATCGCATCCTCTCAGGAAGGGCAGGAGCCACGGGTGTGCAATGGGAAAGCGAGGACGTATCAGGCCACCGGTCAGCCACCTCTGCCAGTTAAGAGGCTCATCCCCTCGGGCAGATCACTCCATCACTTCGTCTGTGAAACACGAATAGCACATGATCCCTGGAAAGCTGGAAGGGTCATGGACACTTTCCACGAAAATACTCAATCCCTGCCATCACCCCTAAGTAACCAGCACCTTCTGCCAGTCCCCTAGGTGCCAGTGGGTCTTGAAGGTGCCAGTTGTCGTGGGTTGGTCTGTACCCCGGCAATAAACACTAAAGCCCTAGCCCGGAACCTGGGAATGTGCTCATTTGGAAATGGCCTGTACAGTACAGTGAGCTAGGACGAGGCTGCCCTGAAGGAGGGTGACACTCAGTCGGATCTGCGCCCTTTTCAGAAGTGGGGACAGCAGCACAAGCAGGGAGGAGAGACGATGTGCAGCCAGGCGCACAGGAAAAGGACGGCCACATGGCCTCTGAGGCAGAGCCCAGGGCTGGAGAGAGGCACACACGTCACCCTCTGAGGCCGGAGGGATCCAGCCCTACCACATCTAATTGCGAACTCCTGGTCCCAGGAACTCTGAGACAGTAAATTTCTGTTGTTCTGAGCCACCCAGGCTGTAACACTTTGTTACAGCTGCCCCAGGAAATGAACAGGGAAGGCCACCTGGTGCTCCACTCTGCAGAGTGCTGGAATCCTCCTGCCCAGTGTCAGCCAGCAGCCTACACTGTCTCCAGGAGAAGAAAGCCAACTTAGCACCTACCAAGGCAGCGACTCCTCCCACCTTGAAAGGGTCTCACCATCAGAAGCACTGCGCCTTCCACAAACATCTCCTGAGCACCTACTATATGCTGGGCACTGTTTTAGGCACCAGTGATGCATAGTACACAGGGAACAGATAATAAAAGCATCCTCAATAAAAAAAAAAGTCGATTCTGATGCGGTTACAAAGAAAACAAATGCAATGTGATTGAGTGGGCTGGCACTAGAGGAAAAGGGACATAACTGATTGTTAGAGAAGGTCTCATGGAGGATATGGTATTGGGACAGGAACCTGGATGACAGGGAGGTAGCCATGGGAAAATGTGGCAGAAGGAACAGCCAGTGCAAAGGTTCCGTGGTAGACTGGGCTAGGCCTAGAAAGAGGGCAGGGTCTCTGCGAGTGAGAGCAATAAGTGCTGGCTGGAGGACAGGCGAAGTCAGTTGGCACCTGCCCAGTCACCTAGCAGATCAAAGGAAGACGTCTGAATTTCAGCCCAAGGGTTCTGAGAAGCTGTGTGGGACACAGTCTCAACCCAGGACTTTCTAACTGTCTTTGTCCTGATCTACAGCAGCCCTGAGCTTTCTGCAACCTTGGCACCGAGATTCTCTCCCTCACCAGCCCTCATCCAGTCACCACTAGAGCAGGTGCAGTAAATACACTTCCTCTTCTCCTGTGACCTTCATTGGATGGTGCTGTCCAGGAAGGAACACCGTACCCTAGGCCGGAGCCCCTGGGGGTGCTCATCCAGACTTCTAATGTCCCCAGGCCGCCCTGTCACTGCCTCGTGCCTTCACCTGCTGAAACATATACCGGGCAGCCTCCCGAGGTCCTGGCAGTGCTGCCCAGACCCTGAGGGCGGACAGAACCTTGTTCAGCCCTGAGAGTAGCTGTGCCCTGGGCTGTGGTGGGAGAGGGTGCCAGTCTGGCCCACACACTGCCACGTATAAAGCCCTGATTAAAGCAAACACGACTCCCAGGCAGCGCCTCAAGTTTCGCAACATTCCTCTTCCGGAATGGCCTTGTTCTCTTGCACCACAAGCCTGAAGACACCTGCACAATGTGGAAACGCCAGCTGTTGAGCAAAGACATGCTCTGCAATCGCGCTTCCTACTAGATTGCCCAAAGCCCGTAAACAAATCTGAGTTGGTGTGTGGGCTGTGGAAGCGGAAGGGTGAGCCACGCTGGCTGGCCAGGCTGGCTTAGACACTGGGCAGGATGAGGGAGGGCGTGCTGAGGGCGGTGGGGAAGGACCAGGCCCCCAGTGGGAGCCACGGTTCACCCAGATCCACCTGACGTCCCCAGGCGAGAGGCTGCGACATCTGGTGTTAGTGGCTGGATTAACACTTGGCTTTGCTTCCTACAGTGAAGGGACCCAGGGCAAACCGGTCTCAAGCCTCCTCATCCGACGCAGGGCCAGCAGGGCCAGCAACGCCTGTCACTCCCATGTTCACGATGAAGACAAGCTAAGAGGGTGGGGTACAGCACCTGGTAGGATAGGAAGGCGGGGCCCATCATGGCAGGGCCACTTCACTCCTCCCTTCCTGATGCTGGCTGGCATTCTGAGGGTTTCTGCTGTGGGTATTTCTTTTAACCTGATCCTTTTCCTTTTGTGAAAATAAAGGTGGAGATGGGGGAGAGGGAAAGGAAGAGGGGGGAAGGAGAGGTAGGCACACAGCAGGACCCCCAAGAGCAGCCCTCTTAGAGCCATCTGGGGTTCCTATAAAGCAACCACTTTTGGAGAAACAAAGTTATTGTCTTAAAGAAAGAAACAGCCACTGTCTATGGAGCATCCCCTCCGTCATGGAACGCTGTAGCAAACTCCTATGGCTTGTGACTTATCCATCTCAGTGGGTGGCTCCTCAGTGCCTTCAGCTATGACATGCTCAAATAATACGAATGCCCCTTCAGAGGAAGTGGCGCTGCCACCCTAAAGACAAACGTCGCAAGGAGCGTCAGAAGGGAGCCAGAGGCTGGAGGGACTGTGCCGTTGCCAATGATGGCCTGAGCCTGAGTCTCGAGAGCCCCTGCAGCTCTTGGATGGAAAAAGAAAATCTTATGAGTCAACTTTTTCACTGAGCTGATTTCAACAGCCTATTGGCTGCACATCAAAGGTGCAAGCAGTCCTATTTCTGAACAAAGCGGAAATTAAAAGGTCAGCGGCAGGAAGACCCTGGACAGTGGGGAACTGTGCTTCCCCTGAAGGGTCAGAGAAGGTGGGAAGAGTGCTCACAGCCCCGGTCCCCAATACAGTGCTAAGCATGGCCCTCTCTGTGGCCCTGCTTGGGCTGTAGGGCAGCTGCTGCCTCCAGTGGGATGGGTCTGAACAGTGGCATTGGGTTACAGGGTGGATGGCACGGCTGGAGAGGCCCTGACAGCTGTCAGCCTGCTCCCACACCGACCCATAGACAGCTACGGCCACGTCGGCCTCACCTGTGCCCGCTCCTTCTGCAGTTTGGTGCTTCTGCCCCGAGAAACTTCTTCCTTCCTCCTCCCCTTGCCATCTTCCCACGTCCAGTCTCCCAACACTCGCAAACTCCGAGCCAGCACAAGGGGCCATGGCCCGCCCCTGAGGACCAGGCGCTGGACACCCTTCAGTCCAGGGCCCAAGGGGGAGTCCCCAAGCCACAGGCACACCGCGGGCCCCACCAGCCTGTGCCCCTGGCCATCAGGGTGGAGGGCTGTGTGCGACAGCACAGGTGGGGTGGCCGGGGCCACAGCCCCATCTCTGTCAGCCGTCATCCCGAGTGGGCGCCTTCTGCCCAGGACACGCGGAGCAGCCGGGTGCGGCTTCGGCCCGCACCGGCCGGGACAGCCCCCGCAGGCCGACCCCGCGCCCTCCCAGGCCCGTCCGCGAGGACCCCGTCCACCCCGCGCCCGGCGCTGCCGTCCATCACCCCTCGAAGACGCCCACGCCCCAGCATCCCGGGCCCGCCCCGCAGCTCCCCGCTGTCACCCCGCGCAGGCCTCGGCCTTCTCACCGCAGCGGCGTCCGTACGGCGGGAGACCCGGCAGCAGGCAACGGCGTCCGACCTGCAGCAGCGGCGACTACGCCGCCCGCGAGCAGCCGGGTCCTTAGGAGGCGCCGAGGCGCGAGCTGTCAGTCAGTGGGTGCGCCCGCCCCACCGGTGTGCGCAGGCGCGGACACGCCCGCAGCATCACGTGACGGCTCCGCCAACTCCCCCGCCCCCGCCCCTCCCGCCCTCTGGAACGCTGGTCTGGGGCGCCGGTCGCTCTCGGTGAGAGTCTGGCCCTGCCGCGACCGGACCAGCGGCTTCCTGGCGACCTCGCTGGGGGAGAAAGACCGTGTGGAGCCAGGCCTTGGGCTCCCCCACTTCTAAGGCTCGAATGCCAGTTCCTCCGCTGGCGTCCCAGAGGGGCAGGACGTTAGAAACCCGGCCAGCACACAGGGCACGGAAGGGCAATCGAGGCCGCCTAAGGGTTTGCGCGGGGGCGCCTGAGAGACTAGGGGAATCCCACTTGAACTGCTGCAAAAGTTCCGGGATCTTTTCATAAATGCAGTAGGGTAAACACGACGTCCAGGTCTTTGGGTTTCTGCCGAATCGCTCCCGTTTTAAAAGGAAAAAAGTATGGGTTTGAGTGTGCAGCTCAGTGGTACAGCGCTTGCCTGGCGTGTGTGAGGCCCTGGGTTCCATCGCTAGCGCGGGGGGCGGGGGGGGGAGAATAGAAATCCTGCCTGTGTAAATTCTTGAGTCCTAGAAAAAGAGTAAAACCCCCTTCCCAATAATTTGGGACTGTCAAGCTTGGTTTCGGTGACTAGCGGAGTAAAGAATCTGCCTCTGATGTTCTAAAGACATTTCCACAGCTGCGCTACACGAGGGGACTAGAGTTCTGCCTTTCAAGAGAGAAATGAACATGCAGAGGGATGATCAACTTTTCATCCCTGGCCCCAGCGCAGCAGGATAGCTGACCTGTCAAACTGAGGACTTGCTTGGAAAAGTTTAGGAACAACATGACCGTGAAAGTTGGGAGTTGCAATTTGATGGGAATTTGGGGGTTGTTAGCATCATAGCCCCTGGTCTCTTTGGCTTTGCTTGACCTACTGGGTATGACCGTTGTGGGAGAAGCTGGATCTTAGGTGCCCTGGTGTGGTGTGAATTCGGCAGGGAAGGGTGTGTGGTAGCCTCCACTCCCTGATGTGGTCACCACAGTAAGTGGTATAGGGTTCTCCCAAGTCCCAAAGAACACAGGTGCCATTTTGCAGGACTTGCAGGAATGGAGGAGGATTGTGCTGGGCTGCAGGAAACCAGGGAGTGAATCTGCCACAGCACTCGACCCCTGTAGCTCTGACCTGGCCTTGGCCATACCAACTGTTCGGGAAAGTTGAAACCGTGAACTTGTTCAGGGTCAGAGAGGGGTCTCATCTTGGGGGAACATCATTTCTCCTCCAGGGATTCATGCAGACTTTCCCCACCTGATAAAAGGTCTTTTGGACTTGCCAGAAAGTTGGACAGAGCCAAGTGACAAGGCCATTTCAAAAAGAGGAAGAGTCCGAAAGCCACAGACCAGTGAATTTGACACTGGGCCTGGGAACTACTCAGAAGAAATGACTCATGAGAAATATTTGTGACCCTCTGGAGAGGAAGATAAAGACATAGACCACACTATGGTCAGTGAACTGTATTTCCTGCGCTGAAGGAACTGTGGGAAAACTGGCTGTGGATCTGAAGATACCAGAATTCATTCCATTATAAGTGACAAAAACTCAAATTGGTTGTTAAGAAAGAGTATGTTGGTTCACATAACTGAAAAGTTCTGGGGCTGCCCCAGCAGGATCCAAGGGCACAAATGTCATCACCAGAATATGTCTCTTCCCTCATTTACTGCTTACCTATGAGCTGGCCTCAAACAGCTTCAGGCTTGTACTGTCTCAGCAGACCCAGTAGAAAAAAAGGTTCCATCTTTCAGTTCTTCAAACAAAAGTCCCAGGACCTGAAGCAGGGTACTGTGGATTCCTGTAATCCCCCTACTTGGGAACCTGAAGCAGAAGGGTTGAAGGTTCCAGGCCAACCTGGGGAACTTAGCAAGACCCTGTCTCAAAATTTTTTTCTTTTTTTTGATACCAGAGATCGAACTCGGGTCCTTGAGCTTGCACAGCAGGCGGTGAAACCACTGAACTAAATCCCTGGCCCAATTTCATATTGTCTCAAAATTTTTAAAAAGGGCTGGGGTTTTAGCTCAGTTGTAGAATGCTTGCCTAGCATGGATAAGGCCCTGGGTTCAATCCCCAGCACACACAAAAAAGGAAAAAAAAATTTTTCCCAGGATTTGCTCTGAATGCACAAAATTCACCTCTTGAGCCCATCTCTGAGGCCAGATGGATAAATGGATGGGTCGGATCTGGACTCAGGTCAGCCCCCGCCCCCATGCTGCTTGGAGGGCGCCCCAGGAAACCAAGTGCTCCTGCCAGGTGATGGGGTGCTAGGGGGTGGAGTTCTGGGCAGGCAGGGAAAAGCAACAGATATCTTGGATGAAAGAATTGCTCAGGTGTCCCAAGGTTCTGTGTAAACCACGCGAAAAGAAATCATAAATTACTGGATGGTCACTTTGAATCATGGACAAGTCGAAAAAGCAGTTACACAAGGTCACATCAATTCTGTTTCTGTTTGGCCACCTGTCCTTTTCTTTTCCCCTTGTTTGTAAACAACCACCAAAACTCAGTGGCTTTCACAACACAAATGTATTATCTCAGAGCTCTGGGGGTCCCCAAATCGGGGTAGCAGCAGGGCTGGTCCTTTGGGCACCGCCCCCCCCCCGGGGAGAACTGTCCTGCAGGTGTCTGCGTTCCTTGGCATGTGGCCCCTTCGCCACCTTCAAAGGGAGAGACCTTGAGCCTGGAGTGGGTGCTCAGCCTGTCCCCTGGGACACTGGTGAGCATGGAGTGTGCAGGCTGGGCCGCCTGTCCATTTGGGTCACTGGTGGCCCCTCAGTGTCAGAGTCAGGCAGCAGGTGTGGCAGTGATGCAGCTGAAGGACATTGGCCCCTGTTGGGACAGCACCGAGCACGTCCCAGCCGTCCGCTTGGTGGTGGTGTGACCACTGCCCAGTGGTGAAAGTGGTGACATATTTCTCCCTCGTAAAAGTGCCCCTGTTCCTTCTGTAGTGAGCGGTGATCTGGGGGAAGATGCGGGAGGCGACTTACATCCCGGTGGTGTAGATCCTGTCGCTGTGGCCCTACGGTGGGCACCAAATGGTGTTTTTAATCCTCTTGTTCCATCTCCATTTATCCCCTGACATTCCCCTGCATCTCCCTGTGCTCTGTATTCTTTTCTCCACAGAACAGCTGGAGCGACCTTCAGAAACCACAGTGTGACCACAGTGGTTCTCAGTTGCCCCCCAGCTGAGCCCAGCAGCCTTTCCTGGTCACTGGGCCTGCAGGACCTGGCCCTTCCCGGCTCTCCAGCCCCTCAAGCCACTCCTTGCACTCCCAGAACTGCAAATCTAGGATGTGCCTTCCTTGCTCAAGGCCTTCCCGGCCTCTCCTGAACCCCTTCTGCCTCAGTCCCCACTTCTGCTTTGCAGACACCCAGCTCCTTCACCTACCTGATCCTAAGGGAAGCCTGTGTGCAGCCCCAGTGCAGGTCAGAGTCCTGAGGACACTGTCACTGGGCTCCCTCTCCTTGTCCTTTACAGGAACACACGAGTTGTCATCACACATGTCCCTGTGCAGTGAGCTCTATGCCCCATACCACGCAGGAGCTCCCCTCTGTCTGCTCGCTCTTGTGTCTGCAGCTCCTTCTGAGGCACCCAGCGGTAAGTGTCGGATGAGTGAATGTGAGATTAACACAAGGCTGGGGGACCGGGACACGCTGGCTTGTGGTTGTCTGAGTGCGGATGCTGGAGGCTTTCTTCTGGCCGGGCGACTCTGGGGATGGGGTCATGGTTCCGGCTTGTGGGAAACCACATCAAAGGCCAGAACTTGGCATGGAGCTGTGACCCCTGGCTCCTTGAGGTGGGCGGAGTGGCTCAGTGCAGAAGGCAGAGCTCTCATAGCCAGGTAGAGCAGGTCAAGCTCATACTTCATTTGGGCCAGTCTGCTCAGCTGTCCAGAGAGCGAACGCCCAATCACAGGGATGAGGCCAGACAGCTGCGGGTCTGGGTGTTGGCTCTCCACCTCTTAGTTGTGTGGCTGGAGCACACTGCTCAGCCTCTCTGGGGCTGTTTGTCTGTAAAAGGGACCAACCATTCTGTGTTCACATAGTCATTCAATGCCTGTCTATTGAGGGCCTGCATTTTGACAGCTGCTGGGGAGACAGGAGGGAGAGGACCCTCAAAGCTCCCTGCCCATGTGGCGTGCTACCAGGGAGTGAAGGCTGGGCTGGGTGGCAGGCAGTGAAGCAGGAAAGGGGAGGAGATGTCGAAGGAGGAGGAGGCCGGGAGAAAGCTTAGCGGTGTGAGTGTGGGCAGATGCCCACCAAGCTGGGTCCTGAAGGGCCTGAGGCAGTGTGTGGGCCCAGCAGGCCCTGCTCCGGGGAATTCGGGGCTGCCACACCTGGGCTTCCCACTTCCTGGGCCCTGCTCGACCCCACCCAGGTTCAAAGGCTCAGGCTTCTGGGCTTCCTGATCTGGCTGTTGACAAATCCAACACTACAGACCGGGTGGGAGATTAAGAAACCCAGAAGAAATCTCTGATGTTGCCTGCACACCTCTGGATCTCTCGCTCCCCAGCACTGACTCCAAGGAGAGGACAGGAATCTTAGTGCATGCTGAGGGACAGCTGCCGCCACGCCAATGCCTGTGCACCCAGCACCTGCCGCCCCGCTGCAGGCACCTCCCTCCCTCCTTCCCAGTGAGCTGATGCTGGGCCACTGTTGCCTACTAGATCAGTTTTGCCTAATTTTACTCTTGGGGCCACCTAGCAGGTACTCTCTGCTGTCTTGTATCTTTTCTTCAACGTTACCCTTGTGAGTCTGATCCACACGATTGTGTTGTTTGTGCTTTCCTTTTCATGGCTGTGTAGTATTTTGCTGTAGGGATAGACTGCAATTCATCATTCTGTAGGCCACAGACATTTAAGTTCTTAAAGTTAAGGGCTACTGTGAGGGCCGGGAATTTAGCTCAGTGGTTTTGCTGCCTGCCTCACAAGTGCAAGGTCCTGAG